GCCATAGTTGACTGGAAGGTTCCCCGTAATGCTAGGGAAGTGAGAAGTTTCCTCGGACTGGCGGGGTACTACCGGCGGTTCGTGAAAGACTTCTCCGCGATTGCTTCCCCTCTTACTAAACTCCTACGGAAGGATGTGAGGTTTGCATGGACAGACGCATGCCAGAGCAGTTTTGATCGGCTGAAAGAGTGCTTGACTAAAGCCCCGGTGCTGATCCAGCCAGAACCGGGTCGTGAGTACACGATCTACAGTGATGCATCTCTTTGTGGATTGGGTTGTGTACTTATGCAAGAAGGTAGGGTGGTTGCCTATGCCTCGAGGCAGCTGAAACCCCATGAGGGTAATTATCCGAATCATGATTTGGAGCTAGCAGCAGTTGTTTTTGCCTTGAAAATCTGGCGACACTATGTCTTCGGTGAAAATATTCTTATATATACCGATCATAAGAGTTTGAGGTATTTGTTGACCCAGAAGGATCTGAACCTGAGACAGAGGCGGTGGCTAGAACTTCTCAAGGACTATGATTTCACCATCGAGTATCACCCGGGTAAGGCTAATGTGGTGGCTGACGCCTTGAGCCACAAGCCGATAGCTGAACTCCATATACAACCAACGTTGGATACGGAAATCCGGAATGCTCAGGAGGACGACGAGTTCTGTCGCATGACACGGGACCTTGTCTCTAGTGGGAAGAGACCAGAGTTTACTGTTGGTGCTGATGGAATCTTGTTTTTCCGCAACCGTCTTGTGGTACCATGCGGGGCCGTGAGGGAGCGACTGTTACGTGAGGCTCACGAGTCAGCATACACTATACATCCGGGAAGTAACAAGATGTACCACGACTTAAAGGGGAACTATTGGTGGCCTGTGATGAAGAAGGAACTTTGTGAGTTTACAGCTCGATGCTTGACATGTCAGCAGGTCAAAGCCAAACATCAAGTACCATCGGGATTGTTGCATCCGCCTTCTATTCCTGAGTGGAAGTGGGAGCGTATCACGATGGATTTCGTGATTGGGCTGCCCTTGTCTCCCCGTAAGAATGATGTTGTATGGGTCATCGTGGATTGTCTTATGAAATCTGCGCATTTCTTACCTGTCCGACGGGATATGTCACTACAGAAGTTAGCAGAGTTGTACCTCCGCGAAATTGTTCGGTTGCATGGGGTACCTGTATCCATTATCTCCGATAGAGACCCCCGTTTCACTTCAATGTTCTGGAAGGGACTCCAGCAAGCCTTGGGTACAAAGTTAAACTGGAGCACAGTCAATATGAGCGTGTGATACAGATACTTGAGGACATGATGAGAGCATGTGTGATTGACTTTAGGGAAAATTGGGAGCGATACTTGCCGTTGATGGAGTTTGCTTATAATAATAGTTATCAGGCAAGTATTCAAATGGCCCCATACGAGGCACTGTACGGGAGGAGGTGCAGAACACCAATGTGCTGGACTGAATTGAGCGAGGTGAGGTTAGAAGGTCCCGAGCTTGTTCATGAGACAGAAGAAAAGGTACGGTTCATCCGCAAGCGTTTGCAGACAGCATCAGATCAGAAAAAAATCTTATGCGGACTTGAAGCGTCGGGAGATTTCTTTTGAAGTGGGGGATAAGGTTTTTCTTAAGGTGTCACCTTGGAAAAAGGTTCTACGTTTTGGAAAGAGAGGAAAATTGAGTCCTCGTTTCATTGGGCCTTATCTCATCACTGCGAAGGTTGGCCCCGTAGCTTATCAATTAGAGCTACCACCTGAGCTGAGCAAGATTCACAACGTGTTCCATGTGTCTATGCTCCGACGTTACCGATCAGATCCGACTCATCGGTTACCTGAAGGCGCGGTGACTCTGGATGAGAACTTGACCTATGAGGAGAAGCCAGTGCAGATTTTAGCACGAGAAGTGAAAGAGTTGAGGAATAAGCGGGTGCCTCTAGTCAAAGTCTTGTGGCGTAACCATGCTGTCGAAGAGGCTACGTGGGAGACCGAGGAGTCCATGAGAGTTCAGTATCCTCACCTCTTCTGCGATGATGGTTCAGGTAATTTCGAGGACGAAATTCTTTTAAGGGGGAGAGAAATATAACGCCTCAAACCCGGCTTGGTATTTTTAATTAATTTATATAATTAATTAGTTACTAAGTCGGTAAAAATGAAGATTATTCTCTAATTTGCGTATTTAATATGAGAGTTGACCTACGTTGTAGCGCTCGCTGTTCTGAACCCGACCGTACGAACGAATTGAGAATCGGACTTGCTGGGCCTAAGATACGAATTCCGAATAAGGTAATTGGGCTTAAATACATCCTGACTAGTTAGGAAGTGTAAACTGGACCCTAAAATTCTATTTAATTTTATATTAAATATGAAGGGGGTTACGAGACTTACCATCCATCCGTTTTTTTTCCCCGTTCGTGTCTCTGCTCTGCGTCCGTTTCTCCTTCGTCGTTCCGTCAGCCAGCAGCAGCGCCGCCGAGCTCCGCTGACGCCGCCCTCACCGAACGCCCTAGCCGCCGTCGCCGCTCTTCCTTCCCCGTTGCACGGTAGATTCGGCTGCAACAGGGAGTGCAGTGGCGAGCTTCTCTTTTTCGATTTGGTTCCTAATTCTTCAATAATTCGAGGTGATTCGTGATTCCTATACCTATAGTTGTCATTAATTCGTAGTTTAGGATCTTGTGGTAGCAATTTTGTGTTTGATTGTGAAATTTGTGGTTGAATGTGCATTAGATTGGATTGGGGTTGTGTTGGGGGCTGTTTTCCGGTGATTCGACGGCGGCTGGCCGGTGGTGGCTACGGCCGGCGTACGGGCAGTTTCCGGCGGGTCCAATTTGGACCCAATTGGTTTGATTTGGACCCAATTGGTTAAGTCGGGTTAATTCGGGTTTCAATTGGGATTGATTTTTGTGCAAACGGGTCAGTTTAGATTCAATTGGGGCTGACCAGGTCGTGGGACCGAGTGTCCGGGGTGTTGGGCCGGTGGGTCCGGCTGTTAGACCGGCTGCATTGGGCCGTTGGGCCGGCAGCGTTGGGCCGGTTGAGTGGGGCTGCCTGAACGGGCAACGGGTTGGGGCTGCCGGGTCCGTCCGGTTGTGAATGATACTGCTCCGGCGGGGGCAGCGGGCCCGAGGATCGATTCCTTGGTCTCAACTCCGTGTAGGTAAGTTGGGTTAATTGCAATTCGGGTTGTTTGATTATGCATGACGGTAATCGCGGGTCTTTGGCCCGGATAGGCCGCTACGTGACTTGTTGTGAATTGTGAACTGAGATTTAAATTAAATTGATCTTGTTGGTGAATATTGTGGATTATGAATGATTAATAGGAATTATGCCACCTAGTATAATTAGGCAGGCCTGAATTGGATTGACTTATTGAATCACCAATAAGATATGCTAGAAAGTGGCCTTTGTGGGGCGTCGTTGCACCCCCGGGGGTCTTGGGTTAAAAACATACGTATGGAAGTCCGCGACCTGTCCTGGCATCACAGGGACAGGGGCTTCAACCCGCCCAAAGTGAATCTCCTTTGGGTTTATGAGCTGGCCCTTTTATAGCATCGCTTGGGGTGGCATGACTCAAAGTAGTTGATGTGGAATAAAATAAGGACATGATATTCAAATGAAAGGTGTTAAAATAAATATGTTTATTTAAGCTGTTTTTCTCCGCGATCACATGCTGTTGTTATTTGTATGCTAACGTGGTGCTATTCTGTGAGTTAACGCTAGCTTAGGTATATTTTCACTCAGCAATTCGCTGAGTGTGTAGCCGTTGTTGTTTGACTGCACGCAGGTAGGAACACAGATTTTGATGGGCAACCCGGAGGGTAGTGAGGTGGTGGTGCGGCGTGGATGGCTCTTATTAATTAAATAATTAAACTACATTATTTTATTTGGTTATATGGACTGTTGGACGTTACTTTGGTTTTATTATGCTTCCGCGACGTTTGGACTTGTTTTATTACTCCGATAAATTTTGGTTTAGTTTCGAACTCTCACAGATGAATTTTATAATTTATTCAGTTGATTATTTTTTTTTTATAAATTATGCATGCGAATACCAATTTAGTAACAACCCAGTTCGCTAACCCGTTGGTTCGGGTTATGCGGGTTGGGGTGTTACAATTTCACCATTTTTAGCCTTTAAAAAAATCACCACGATGATCACGTACACTATTAACTTTTCAACATTTTCCAAGATTTTTTTTATAATCATAACGTAAACTTTGTTTTAAAATAACAAAAGAATCTTCTATAAAATGGGCCATCTTGAAAATTTGGCCCCGTGCGGTGCACTTGATGAACGCCCTTATGGGCGCCCCTTAAGATAGGAAAAGGATAAAACAATCTCTTAACCTATTGACTTAGGTCTTGGGAAAACCTATACATGAGGGTCACACTTCGTGCATGAGGCATACATGAAACCATAATTGGCCTTAGTGCTAGTGGGAGATTGTTGAATATAAGTGAGCCCTAGAGGTCAACTTATGATGCCATATTTATATTATCAAGAACAATAGGCCCTAATGTTGGTCTTATGGGGGACCATCAATCACCCTTAGGGATTCGCTACTATGCTAGTCACGGTATCGGGTACTGACAGCCCAACCTGACGAGGTACACGAGTCGTGTATCTTGCGAAGCCCCTCCTGTCCATCCACCGCTCAGTAGTGGGGCTCCGCTCTGCCGTAGTGAACTATAGGGGGTGCCCTATAGGAATCTACCTCGGCTTGGGGCTACAGAGATGTGGTTAAATACAAAGTGTCCACATTCCTATCACCAATTGGTTTTAGGAAGCATTTGGCACCTCTTTAACTTCAGAACTCTATAGTTAAGCTTGCTGGAACGGGAGTAGTCCCAGGATGGGTGACCCACTGGGAAGTTCTAGAAAACGATCATACACCTAAAGTTTGTTTAAGTCGTCTCGTGTGATTTAAACATAGCTTTAGTCCATAGAGTAAGTGCTCTAGTAACATAGATGAGAACTATGACGTTCTGATTATGAGGCTGTTACAAAGATAGAGGCTACGTCTAAAATATCCTTAGTCGAATATTATGGCAATACTGACATCATAATATATCAAGACTAATACGTATGAGATGAGGTAGCTACATCTCATAGGCTATAGATAAAGTGTTATCTGAAATTAAACGTAGGCAAACATATTGGATATGTTGTTGGATTGTGACCCGTTATGAGAATAATATATGGATTTAAGTTAAAGTGTTGATATTATTCTCATGCGACCATTAATATAACTATCCTTCGACTTGAAGTCATTACGATCTTTGGAAAGTTGAGTTGCATACTTTGAAGCATGATTTATGTCATCTAAAATATTGGTGGATGTACAATTATGTTTTGGGTACGCAATGAAACTCAAGTGAAAATGTAAATGACGTAGATAGAATTTATCCCTTCTTTAATAGAAGTATAATATCTAAGAGCCCACTAATTGATGTGACTTGGGAAGTGCATGACCATGCCCAATTAAATATGTTATTAGAATCCCACAAGTCAATCAAAAAATTAGTAAACCATCGATTTAACTCCAATCAAGATTGTGCTAATCAAGATATTAGTGATAAAGGGATAAGAGTTATACAAATGAGATGTGTCATTGAAGAAATTGTTCCTAGAGCTTTATATCTATATTTTGGGGGTGATAATTTGTTGCTAGATACCGCTTATCACTTGTAGTATTTAATTGATACTATGACCAATTTTATAGGTACTTAGAATAGGGTCACACACATAGAAAATATGAAAGTGTAGAATATTTAAGTGGAGTAAAGTTGCACTATATATATATATATATATATATATATATATATATATATATTGGTTCAAGTGAGAATAAGATCTTATGAAAGAAATAAGAATGAATTTTGGCCTTTGGATTAAGATGATCGCATCTCCAAATTTTAATGATATGATCTCAACCTAATCGGTCAGTATTGTACTTTCACACCATTTGACAATTACTCGATCACTTCCATATAGGTTTTCCACGATTTGCGCCTCTCTATTTATTTCTATGCATATTGGATTTTTCTTGTTTTTCCAAACTAGTTATGGTAGCGACGGTAAGAGCAAATTAGGATTTAATTTCATAGACTTTTTCCCAACTAATTTTTAGTGGTGTCTAATGACATGAAAAAGTTCTCCTATCCGATTGATTTGAAATTCACAAAAAACCAAATTGATTTTTTGTTCTTATTCAACGCAATAAAGTTGCAGGTGCATTTAAGCTACATTAATGAACAAAACCTGTGTGGATATTTTAAATGCATATTATACACCTTTTCTATGCACCACAAATACTTCAAGGTGCATTGTAAAAATTTTTACATTGTTATTAAAGATTAACGAACAAAGTCTGCATGAGTTTTTTTATTCTGCATTTTAACGATAAACGTAATGCATTTTGGAGCTTTAAATATTGCATCATAAGATAATGGTAAAGAATATTATGTTCTATTAAAGTGCATTCTTAGGATCAAAATGAAATTGATCTATCATATAATGAAATTCTCATGACATAAATATGATGCATTTATATAATCTTAAATGGAACTTTTTGCAAGCAATGATGCAGATAAAATGTTTTGTGATACATTTGAATATTAGTTTGAAACACATTGAATAACGTAAATTTTAAAATATTAGAATCTATGTTTAATAGGTCCAAGTACAAGATGGATGTTTTTTTGAAAAATCAATAGCTGCTATTTAGCTCAAATTGTAGAGCGGTATGTACTACAAATATGGGTTCGAATCCCATGTAGACAGATCATTTATCGAATTTATATTTCACTTTTATGAAATATAATGCATTCAAAGGCATTCACATCACATACAAAGTCAATGGAGAGTCGTTAATCTTTAATCTACAAATTAATACAATGAAATTTGAATAAAATATATGGAACACAAAACACATATATCATCCATCATAGTGCAATTATATTTAAATTAGATGCATTTTGAAGAAGAGGCCTACTAAAATAACTAAATGAAATAAAATTAATAATATAATATAAGATACTCTATAATAGACTTGGAGGCACGATATTATAAAAAGAGTTGAGTCCATAATTTCTATCACATTTAAGATTACAATTATATATGCCCTTGGAAATTTAATATTGAGCATACGGTTCCTAAATATAAGGACTATAATAATTGCTTACCTTTTTAATGCTTATTGAATTGTCAAAGAATATTTTAATCCCAACCCTCTACTCAATCTAATCTAACGGATGATGATTATTCTTATTTCTTTCACATAACATCATTCTCACTGGAACCGCACCCTATATATATATATATATATATATATATATATATATATATATATATATAATGTATATTACATTGTGTGACAATATGATTAGATACACAAACATATATATATAAATAAAAATTTATATTTGGACATTTTAATTATGTGATAATTAAGTATGTCAAATATAATTAATAATAATAAATAAATATATATTCGCATATGTATGCATAAATAATAAATTGTTTATTATTTTATTTTATTATTATTAAGGCGCAAGGGTATATATATTTGGACATATTAATTATGTGATAATTAAGTTTGTCAAATATTATTTAAGGAACAAAACATAACATTATTATATATATGTGTGTGTGTGTGCGCGCGCAATTGAGTTTAGAAAATACACTTTATTTTCAAACAAACGTATTACAACTAACACCCAATGATGCCTACAATTGAAAACGCATTAGTCATTAACTTAAAAAAATAACCGATCCAAAAGGCCACTAAGCATTTGAATCGGTTATTCCCAATAACCGATTCAAATAGCAATTTGAATCGGTTATTGGGAATAACCGATGCAAATGCTAACCGGTACACAAATTATTTTTACAATTTAAACCGTTTGTTTTGCTGACCGATGCAAATGGGGTGATTTATATGGTCGTTTTTGTAGTTGTGTCTTATGATTATTATAAGTTATTGTTAAATAATATACCTTTCTTGACGAGCAAGCAACGATATATGTAGGTTGGAGGATTGGTCTAAGAGCTAGCCCCAAAAGTATATGACCTCTAGTTGAGACACCTGAACAATGAAGAGTGTTCTAGAGAAAATAATGCTAGTAATTTTTCTCTAGAATATTTCTAAAATACAAAATATTTTAGTGTAAGTATTTAAGAGAATAAAAAAAACTTTTTCTCTCTTAAAGTAGAGAGAGGGCCGAAAATTTCAAGTCATAAAAAGGGATGGGATGATCTCCTATTTATAAGGAGCATAATCCAAATTCCT